TATTAACCACAATACAACAGAATTAAACAGTATTTCTGCTGTCTAGCCCAATTCATATTGGGAAACTCAGAGATAATATATACATCTCAATGTTATCTTAACTAAAGTCCTCTCTTGTAACTTGGCAAGTCACTAAAACATCAATAGTATTAAATGCTTATAACCAGAGAATTTTGTCTTACCATTGGATCTTAGATGATTTTTACCAACACAAACTGGTCGTGGAAACAAGTTCTATGTTTTTGAAGATTTCACATTACCTAAAATTGTCCATATTAGCAGCTGAGTTCCAATAAGAGTTCTAGAAATAACAAATGTATTCTAAAGCAGGTAGGTGAAGGTGAGGGTTGTGAGTAAAATCTTTCATAACTTGACATTCAAGGCTGCTCTCTGAGAATGGAGAAAGGAACAGATGGACAAGTGCTCTGAGCAATCTCATTTTACCCCCATTGTTTGACCATCAGCCCTTCTTTTGAGATTAGGCCTCTGCAGTCAACTTGTCAATGCTTATCAATAATTTGTCTGATTAAAAATTAAATCTATTAAAGTCTAAAACTATTTACTAAACACAGATTAGCCTTACTTCAGAGCTTTAACTTTTTTTGTGCCATGAATCTCTCATGCTTTATTGTAGAAACTATGGGTTACTTCTAGGAATAATGCTTTGAAAGACAATAAAATATATAGGATTGTAAAGGAAACCAACTACATAGAAATAATTAAACAAAAAAAATTTATATGTAAGTTTAAAGAAATAAGATCTAACAACTACCATAATTTCAAAGTAGTGATGAGAGTAAATGATATTTCAAGAGATCTACAATATCTAGAATATATGAAAATACCTGTGATTTCTGTTTCCAGAATCATGGGTACTGCTAATACTAGTGTAGTTTGTTGCCTAAATTTGTAAATAAAGGAAATAGTAAATTACAGTTTGAAACTAGTACAAGAAAGGAATTTTTTTCCCATCCAAGTTCCTAGATTCCCTGAATCTCACTGAAGCACATAGCTTTACAATTCATGAATACAGACTATTTTTCTCAAAGACAATTTTAATGTGAAAAACAGCAGAGATAGAATTTAACATGAGTTCTCCAGCCTTTTAAACAGAACAGTTATACACATAATAGAAAATATTTTGGCCTCATCTAATAAAAACAGACTATATGGTCAAATTACAGGTATGATATAGACAGGCCCCCAGTTGTAATTTGATACCTGAACACAGCCTTCACAAAATGGGACCAATACTACTACTCTGCTTCATATTATCCTTATATTAATGCCAGAGTTCCCTGATCTCAGATATTCTATTTAAAAAAAAAACAAAAAATGCCTGTTGGCCTAAATTAAGTTTTAATAAACAGAACTAGTAACATAAAATCCTTAATCACATTCTGGAAAAGAAGCCAGGAACCACCTTGAGCCAAAGAGAACAAAAATTATCCCTCAGAGACTTTACTTTGGATTTTCACACAGATGTGACCGACAGGAACAAGAGACAAATTTATCAGGTAGATAAATATTTAGTAATTAGATCAAGTTACATAGCAGTCTTTAGTATTATTTTTTT